GGATTGGCCACTTCGATTTTTGACCATTCCCTTGTAAGTCAAAAAGGCGATATCACTAAGTCGCTCCATTACATTTTATGTTGAAAACTCTGCAATCATTCATACAGAGCACCTCATATATTTCCTGGGATTGTTGTTTCTGTTCTGATGTTATCTATATCTTGAACACCAGTCCTAAATCATCCGAGCAAAATTTTTCCTCTTAAGTGATTGATGACTGGCTTACAGGGTTGATGGTGTTCGAAAGACTCCGAAAGTTATATGCCATGTGTTTGAATCTGACGAAGCATCATTTATAGCGCAATCAATCGGTCAAGCTTTCCAGGTTAGTGTTCAACCATTTGGGAAGAAAACAGCATTTGTAGTGTTCTTTTTTCAGGTTGCCTATGTGGAGTTTTTGCGTGCGAACGGCATTGATGATCCATCCTATCTCAGGCAAATTGACTATCAGGTAAGCGTTTGCAATTTCTCATTTTGTTCTTTTCTTCTCTGGGTAAGAAGTTTGACATTTTCTACATCTGTGATCTTTGAAGGAAGTTCTGAACTCACAAGAGCTACTGGGAGACGAGTTGGAAATGTTTGCCCGAAAAGAAACCCAAAAGGATGTGGTTGTTCCCAAAAAGAGTGGAGAGCCTTTGGGTGTTGTAGTGGTACGTTATTCGATATATCTGCTTTATACGAAAAGGAGAAAAGAAAAATGACTTTTAAGGTGGAGTCTGGCTGGGGTTCAATGCTTCCAACTGTAGTCTTGGCACACATGAATCCAGCTGGTCCTGCAGCTCGTTCAAATCTGCTCAACATAGGGGATCAGATTATAAACATCAATGGCATATCGCTCGTCGGGCTTCCATTGTCGGCTGCTCAAGCAAATATCAAGAATGTGAAGTAAGTAGTCTAAAAGATCGTCAGTCCACATATGTTTTGAAATTTTCGCAGGACTGCTACCGCTGTGCGATTGACCGTGGTTTCAACTCCTCCAGTCGTTGAAGTGAGGATACGACGGCCTGACACGAAATATCAATTAGGCTTTTCAGTACAAAATGGAGTCATCTGTTCACTGTTACGAGGTGAGTTCCACATCTTTTAAGATTGTTTCGTTGGATGTGAACATCTACGGTATTATATGAAGAAAATTTTTCCAAATAAGCCTAGCTGCAAAAGCTTTCGGCTTGAGAGCCATCGGTGTGTCATTTTTCCAATGCTTTGCGCAAGAGAAACTTGGCACTCACTAATGGTTTGAACGGTATTCTTTTACAACAATGTGGAAAACGCACCTTTTTCATCACTTGAAAGTAATTGGATACAGGTGAAACGAAAACAGTAAGGGTCGCCTCATTGGCTCATGATTTGAAGCGCGTTCGCCTCAAGAGTCCTCCAGTTAAAGGCAGTGTCCCTCAAAAATTCGCTTTTTGGTTTTTGAGCTTTCCGGAGCTTTCTCGGCATGCTGAAGTCATATCTGGGCTTTTCAGCGCATAAAAATGGCAAAAATGA